GGCTACACCTGGAGGCTATCTCGCTTATTACAGGACCGAATTTTACCAAAGTTAACACATATAACAAGCATAGTAAGGAGTCTTAAAATCAGCAATCAAATTTGAGAAAAAAGTTTCGTTTCCATGGATACGCCGCCATATTGGATTTTATTGACATGTTTTACGCTCATGGAAATTTATTGTTTTTTTGCATGCGTGTTAGAAAAACATTAGATCTAAAAATTTGTCTGTTGTTTTTTTCCTAATCGAATTAGAACATTTTTAATGATTTTTTTCCTGAGGTAGCATTCAAGTTTGCGAAAAATCCGTGAAAATCTACACTCCAGACACCACCACCAAGAATCTATTCTATATATAAAAAATTCAACTGAACAATTTTTAATATTACCTCTTCTCTTCATTCTGTGAAAATTTCATGAAGATTGGATGAAACATGGTGGAGTTATTTTAAAAAGTATAGAGGGAAGTCGCATTTTGAGAAAACGGCCGATAAAGAAAAATAAAATACTGACTTTATGAGGAAATGGCGGTTACAAACATGCTCGGTACGGGAAAAAATACTGTTTTGGAGAGTTCTTATGCCATGGAATAGTTGTAGGAGAGGCTGAGGGAGCTAAAAATGCCTACAACTCAAATTCCATGATTTTTTAGCCAAATTTTGATTTTGGGGGTGTAGCCCCCCCCCCCCCCTTAAGGACAACAACAACAACAACAACAACAGCAATAATAATGAATTATTATTAGGCTATTATTGTTATTATTGATATAATTAATCACAATCATAATGATAATTGTAGTCGTGAAAAATTAAACATAGTGATGATAATAACACCAAGGCCTATATCAATGCAATATGAAAATACTAATACTAATAATAAGAAAACTTGTAGTGGAAGCTTTGAGTGCGGTCGGCTCGTTCGATTGTTGTCTGTCTCTCCGTCTCTCTGTCTCTCCGTCTCTCTATCTCTCTGTCTCTCTCACTCTCTCTCTCTCTCTCTCTCTCTCTCTTTCTCTCTCCCAGTCTCTCTCAATATGTCTCTGTCTCTCTATGTCTTTCTTTGTCTCTGTCTCAGAGAGAGAGAGAGAGAGAGAGAGAGAGAGAGAGAGAGAGTAAGAGAGTGAGTGAGAGAGACGCAGAGAGACGCAGAGCGACAGAGAGAGAGGGGGGAAGATGGGGGAGAGAGTGCAGATGCATATATATA